TATATATATATATATATATAATTGGTAAAATATGTTATGTCAAAAATATCCTTGCCTTGTTTGGTCAAAATTATAAAAATTTTCATTTCTGTGGTCAACTGATGGAAATCGTTATTTTGGACTTCATCTGCGAATTTTTTCTATGTTTGATATCTTGGTTGGCACAAATGAAAGGTTTAGATCAAGTATGTATCTTGACTACAATTCTCCCATAGTCATTTTGGATTTTACCTACAAATTTTTTAAAAGTTTGATATTTTGGGCAGCACAAATAAATGGTTTGAATCAAATCCGTTCTTATTCTCTTATAAACTATAATGTCAATATAACTATCCTTTTTTTTTTTAATTTTGAATTCAATAAGTGTGCGTTTGATTGTCAATATTTTTCATAGAAAATGTGTATTTTCCATCCAAATTCCTACTTTTGTGCTGTTTGATTGCTATTTTTTTCATAAAAAATATTTTTTTACTTTTAGTTATGTGACCATATTTTCCTCAAAATTAAGTAAAATATTTTTCTTGGAGGGAGTATGATTTTATTTTCTAAGAAATTCACTCTCTCTTTCTTATTATTTCTCATCTATCCACCAATAAAAGGGACAAATATATATTTTATAGGTTGAAAATTAAATCAATCAGACACATTTAATTAACAATTTTCATGTAAATAAATTCTAAACAATTGAATTACTTATAATTCATTTTCTTTTTATACAAATTTTATGCTTGCAATTAAATGCACTCTAATTGCATTTTCACTCTTCCCTTGACTTAAAACCCATTTGCAGGTCACATGAGCAAGTTAACTGTAAAATCTAACAGACTGGGTACGATTTCAGCATAATTTCGAAAGATTGGGATGACTAGTGCCAAAAATCAAATGCAAGGATGACTATGAAATCCCTTAGAAAGATTGGGGACGGGACTACAATTTACACGTTTTAAATCCCGTCACTTCTCTAACTAGTAGCTTAAAACCCTGATAAATCCCGGTTCTTCAGCCGCACATGCACACTCAGATATTCGTTTCAACGGAATTTCAAAAATCAGCGATGGATGCAGAAGCAGCGGGTATGGAAGAAGGGAAGGACATGAAAAACAGCGTGATGTGTCAGTTGACTGACCCAGAAGGTACGCCTCTGGGACCGTCGATGTACCTCCCGCAAAGCGCCGGCCCCAAGGAACTTCAGCAAATAGTCAATCAGCTCCTCAACAATGTAAGTACTTATTTGGGAATTTGATTTTTAAGTGATTACAGCTCTGCTGATTTTTTTTTTCCTTTTTATGATATTTTGAGTTCATAATAAATTATCTGTATTTTTGGGTTTAATTTTGAATAAGATAGTTTAGGTAATTGTGTTTAATGTTTTGCAAACATACTTCTTGAGTTATACGTTTTTTTATTTAAAAAAAAAAAAAAAACTCAATTGCGTGTTTATTTGCTCCGTATAATTAAGAGAATACTTGGTTTTGAATCAATTTGGAAGTTTATTTGGCAAAATCTCAATTAATTTTTGGAACTGATTGCGGATATTTTTACAAAATTAAACACTAATATCAGTACCTGTAATTTGGAAAGTTCCATTTTGATTGTAATTGCATTTTCCTGCTTTAAGTTTGCTCGTTTCAACCGAGCAGTTTAAACTCAAAATTTGAGACAATATGATAACTATTTCTTTATCTCTCTTCTTCTTCTTCTTTTTTTTTTTTTTGGGTACGTATAGACAAGAGTCACCAAAATTTTATCGGTATGAAAAAGACTAACCAAATTTCTAGACAAGAAAATAATATTATCTAGTTAGATTATTGTACAAATGAAACATAGATAAAGCTAGAAAAATAAATTTTATGTTCATTCTATGGGGTTATGTGTACACCTTACTATACTGTCAGTAGATGCCTGGATTTCTTCATCTATATCATTTTGGTAGGCTTGATTAAAATATCAGAGATTTTTATCTATATCAGGAGGAAAAATTGCCTTATGCATTTTATGTATCAAACCACGAGCTCGTGGTGCAGCTTGATTCGTACCTGCAGAACAACAAAGGTGAGGATTCCAGCTAGTCCTATCATATCCTTTTTACCAAATGAACTTGGTAGGGAATTATATAAGAAACAATTAAATGAGATCCTGTGTGAATGTTTTTACAGTGTCTCTGGAGAAGGTCTTGACAATAGTTTACCAGCCTCAAGCAGTATTTCGAATACGTCCAGTTACTCGCTGTTCTTCAACTATTACTGGTATGAGATTTCATTTTGTGCGTTTAATTATTCCTCCCAACAATATTCTTGCACTTATATTTTATATGATATTAGCAGTTGCGCAAAGCAACATGTATTTGAGCTTTGGGCTGATTGTGTAGTATCCTCTGTATTGCCAAGACTAGTGGTTTAACTCAATGAAGTAGGACTGGGATGTGATTATGCTTTTGATGATAGATATGTAACGCTTGGCTGAAAGCCAGGATAATTATTTGACAACAAGGCTTTGACAGCTTGTGTAGTAGAGGTAAGTATATACAAAAATCAAAGGAAACACAGGTTCCCATTCATTTTTATGTGATTTTGAAAGTTTTGGGATGTTCCAGTTGTGTGACTTGAAGTTGGCTTGAAGATAGGAAATAATAGTGGCTAGCAAACCAGTTTTAGAAGAGGAGGGCTACATTGAGGGAGGAAGATAACGAACTGAAGAGATTGGAAAGCTTGATGGTCTATGGTGGAATAAAGGAAATTGAAGGTCGAAATGAGACTGCTGGGATTGGAATAAAAATTTGTTTCTTTCCCTTCAAGTTACCTTGTTTATAGGATAGATTGACACCAGGTTACTCAAAATCCTTTTTCTAGATTAGCCTATGACCTGTTTTGGTGCTATTATAATATAATTGTGACTTCAGAAAATGTTCAAGGAGTGTCTATTTGGTTTACGGTTCATCTCCATCTAGCATTGGTCGACCATTTTGGATTAAGGACTAATTAAAATTCGGTAATTTTTTATCTGGATATTTATGTATTACGATAATTCAACACATTGAATCTTAGTATCCCTGTAAAATTGTAAATCATGACTACTAGCTACGTACATAGTTTTAACACTTGAACATAGGCCATGAGGCATGCCTCCCTCCCCAAAATTGAGTTGAACTTTTCAGCAGCAGATGACCTGTTCCCTCTTCTCTTTTTATTACATTTTTCATGTTGTTTTCTCTGTATTTTTGTTTTCTTCTCCTGGCTTTCTTTTCTTTTAAAGTCAAAGGAAGCAAAAAAATCATGTATTTGGTTAGTCATTTCATTATTGTATTCTTCTATTTCTAATTATGGATTTTTGTTTTTTTGTTTTTTGTTTTTTTTTTTTTGTTTTTTGGCTCGATTACTGCTTTATAGATTATTATTTACTACTTTGTCAATTCATTTATGTTTATAGTGGCAATTAGACGTTTAGTTTTGTTGAGATGTTTTATTATGAGTTATGATATTGTATTTTAATATTTTTTTATTTATTTTTATTATTCTGTTAAGGCGTGCTCCTCGGAGCACGTCAACGCTTTTGCCTCTAATTTATGAAGGCGGAATTCCTTGATTGTAAATGGATCTTTTTCAAAATATGATAATACGGCATATTTGAATATGATAAAGATGATATTTGGTTAAGTAAACCTAATAAGGCGCTGTTGAATACTTCTGTCTGCTTTCAGCTTCAGGCCAGACAAGATATATAATTGACTAAACCACAAATACAATCAGGCTTTTGTTCAGATTCTTTTGTACACAATGAGTTCTGGTCTTTTTAAGTTAGTATGTTTTTGCATCTTAGTTCTAGATGTTTTATTATTCAAAAAAGAGTTGCCTCCTTACACTTTAGAAAGAAAGGTGCAAATGTAGCAACCTACATATCTCTGGATTTATACTCATGATATTTCCCAGAAAATAAATATTAATTTAGGGAGGAAGAGTGTTCCATTACTAATGCTTTGCATAGTTTTATGTCAATCATTAGTTGTTTGCATTCAGTAAATGTAGTTATTATGTCTTATCATCAGAATGCTCTCTCTTGTCCTTCACATCTTTGTACAGTAGTGGAACAATAAATATGTCTATGATTCCATTTGCGAAATATTTTTTGTTAGCAAGTACCATTTGAAGCATTTACATAGTAATATATTGCTCTGACTGACAGCATCTAGTATGGGCCAATATAGTTCCCTTGTGTTATATGTGCCGTCAGACAGTTTGAGGAGTTATGGGGATATCTTATGGTGTTTAAATGAAAGGAAACAAACTTTATTGTTTGAAAGCACTTTTGGGAGGGCTAATGGTGCTCTTACCCATATATGCACATTATCAATCTCCATTATGTTTTTACCAACTTGTCCAATTGCATGGACATATTTCTTCTTTCGATTGAGGAACTTGTCCGTATTACATATTTGTGATAAATATCTGCATCTGTAGATTTTCTGCTGAGACATATTTATTTGACTGCAGTCATATCATGTACCACCTTTGTTTGTTACATCTTTTGAGCATGTATAGTGGGCTTATCATTGCAGGTCATACTGAGGCTGTACTTTCAGTTGCCTTTAGTCCTGATGGACGGCAGTTGGCAAGCGGGTCAGGTGATACGACTGTTCGTTTATGGGATCTAAATACTCAGACTCCATTATTCACGTGTAAAGGTTAGAATTGTTTTCTTGTGTATGACGTATTGGCCCTGCATGTTTACATCTTATTTCCAAGCGATTCAATGGAATTATACAATCTGTGTAGTACATTTGCTTGAAATCTAAGTTAAGGCAAATAAGTAGGTGTCAAATCCTGTAGCTATTTTGTATATCTATCTGGATTGTTGGAAGATTTTTATTTTAGTTTCCCTGTATATTAGCTTCCACTACGGATTGTATGGCATAGAATATTCAATCAGATCTTAGAAATCATGTCATTTAGTTAGTTTCCTGTTCTAGAAATTTTAGTCAACCTTTTGTACTCTCTTTAGAGCCATAACCTTATTCAGCAGTAGTTGAGTTTAAACTCTCTTCAACAATTTAACATGGATTATATTGAAGATGTGAAATTTTACTAGTCAGTGATGACTTACTATATTGTGTTCAAACATGATTTTCTGTGAACTGCACGCGCCATGCATTCTCCTCACTTAATTTGATGCTGTTTTCACATGTTCAAGTTCCTTATTAATTCCTTTGTTCCTCATTGCTCGATTAATAACTGCAGTAGCCATCTTTATGTGGTTTTGTAATTTGGACTTTGAATTGGGCCTATAACCTGTAAACCTATTCAACCATGCACAATCATATCTTCCCACTTGCTGTGCTTTTGCCGTCCACTTTTCCAATTGAACATCATTATTTTATTACGTTCTTTGTTTGTGGCTCTAGAGTTATTTGTATCCATGTTCTGCTGTTTCAAGTTCCAATTATGGCCCTTGCTTTCCTTTCTTTTGTATATTTTTGCTATGAGTTGCTATTGAAGAGATGCTTTTGGTGGGGGTTCTATTTCCCCTTTTCTTCAGGCCACAAGAACTGGGTACTTTGTATTGCATGGTCGCCGGATGGTAAACATCTTGTTAGTGGAAGCAAGGCTGGAGAACTTCAATGCTGGGACCCACAGACTGGGAATCCATCTGGCAATCCACTTATTGTGAGCTCATATAATAATTTTTCAGTAAAATATCATTTCAATGTTCTAAATTTTGTCCTCATAATTGTTAATGGGGTTAAATAAAGATTACGAAGATCATAGAAGATTACGGAAGATTACGGCTATATTATAATTATATTGTACCATATATAGATATATTTCTTTTACCATTTTTAGTTTGATTTTGTTCTATTTAATGAGAGAACCTCTCATATTAAGGGGCATCGAGTGTTATTCATTATTATTTGACATGGTATCAGAGCCTCTTTTTTATAATTTTCTTTCGTTTTCTTGGTTTAGTTTTCTTACGACAGTGTCCCCTCCTCCCGTCCAGTCTTCTTTCTTGAAAAGATTTTTTTAAGCTAAAAACAAATATTCTGCAATCACTCTTTTTGTACAATACATATCTCTATCGATCTACCAATGATATTGCCAAATTTTCTTTAATTCCCCAGTATCATTCTAGACATACAAATTTTCTATATTCAAAATCCATTTTGTTTTTTATTTAAAAAAGGAGGGTTAACAATTTGATACAGAACTCGTCATCGCCTGTGCCTATGAGACCTCGAGTCTCAGGATTTTCCCTCCACTCACCAATGTAGGAAAGTATAGGTGCCCACCATACCACCACCTCCCATTCATTACTTTGGCTACCGGTTTCTTTCATTGTCGGATTCATCTGTTTTACATACATGCAACCTCGAAATAAATCCAATTCCAAATAGATTTAGAAGCACGTTGGTTAGCACATCTGCGGAATTTCCCTTGGCTTCGTGGGCTGGCTGTGGTGGAGTTGTGAGGGATTTTATTGAGAGGAAGCGCGCTGGTTGGCTATGGTAGAATTGCAGCTGTCGGCTGAAGTGGATTGGGTTTTCTGTGCAGTTTCAAAATCGCAGTCGTGAATTGGGATTGAGTTTGCTGTACCAGATTTTTGAAGGCTGGGCTGGTTAGTGATGTTTATTGGGGCTTGGTTATATGTTAAATGGGATGAATATTGGGCTGTGTATATGGAAACAATTATGAGGGGATGGTAGGTTTGAGTTTGGTGGGTGTGGTCTAGCGTTACTGGGCCTTGAGTCATATTGGGCTTAAGAGATGGGTTAGATTCTTTTGGGGTTAATATTATAAGGTTTATGGTTTGGGTTGATTTATGTGGTTGGGCTTGATTTATGGGCTATAGTGTAATAGGGTAATGGGTTGTATCATGTGGGTTGATATATGTAGTGAGTTGTGGATGGATATATTCTAAGGTAAGGTATGGCTATTGGGTTGGATTTGGCTGGATTTGGTTTTTGTTTAGTCAGCTCTCCATTTTAATTGGGTTGTGGATAATTAGGCTCATTAATTTTATGGTTAATTGGTTGATTGATTTTATTTTGGACTAAAATTAACATAGAGGGATAGCTCAATGGTCATTAGTTCGAGTTCTTTTAGGGTCATTGAGATGAGTACCCCGTTGTAAATTTCAGGGCCCCATGGGATTAGTCGAGGTGTGCGTAAGCTGGCCCGGACACCCACGGTCATAAAGAAAAAAATGTTCTTAGCTAAAATTTGGGACAAATAGATTTGAATATTTTTTACGAGCGATTTTAAGGAGAGAAGACATTGAAGTGCAGACTGTTGAGTTTTGGTTGCTCAGATGATGAGCTAAAGTTTTAGATTCCCGAAAGAGGATCAAACTTGGATGGTTTTGGATTCTCAGAGGAGGAATTCATTTATTTATTATTATTTTTTTTTTGTGTAAGCTGTTTGGTGGGATTTTTTCCAATTGCAGCATTTTGGTCAGCGATGTATTGCTGGAATTTGGCTGGTGTATTGGCATTAGAATTTTTGTCGGAACACGAATTATGTGTTTAACTGAGTTCTCCCGGCAGGTCGAGCTCACTATGTGTGTCGGCACACTTCGTGAATTTCTTCTGGAAATTCTTCTTGAGTATGAGCTCTCTGGAGTATTCTTAGAGTGGCTTTGGAGTAGTCCTTGGTTGTTTCTGCACTATTTTGTTGTTCTTGGTCTCTCGTCGTCATTAGTTCTCCTAGATGGCTGCTTTGATTTGGATTTCTTCTTCATGAGCACAAGTATTGTCACCGTTGTTGCAAATTGATGCCTTTACCGGTATCAATTTGAGGGGAGATGTTAATGAGGTTAAATAAAGATTATGAAGATCATCGAAGATTACAGAGGATTACGGTTATATTATAATTATGTTGTACCACATATAGATATATTTCTTTTACCGTATTTAGTTTGGTTTTGTTTTATTTAATGAGAGAACCTCACATTGAGGGACATCGAGTGTTATTCAGTATTATATGACATTAATCTCATACTGATAAATGTGTTTTCTATCTCTCACACTTGATCTGAAACACTTTAATTTTCATAAGTTTCTTATCTATGTGTGCAAAGCATTACTTTTGCAAAGTGAGAACTTTTACTCATCCTTAAGAAAGGAGAGTATTTGTATACAAATAATTACATTCTCATTTTTCTTCTTAGTAAGCAATCTTGTTTATGATGGCAAAGGTGCTGCCCATACGTACAGACTAAAGAGAAGATGATAACAGAAGCTTTATTTACTATTATCTCACCACAATTCTATTTTCCTGATGACAGGATATATCATGTATTCATATTAATTGAATGTACAAGTCCCTATGTTTTCTAGCTATATTTTGCGATGTCATTACTCTTTTCTCTATATTTCTTTTCTTCACTTCTCTCGAAAATTTCAACTTGGAGCCTAATGATATAATTTATGTTTTATGTCTCAGGGCCATAAGAAATGGATAACCGGGATTTCATGGGAGCCAGTGCATCTTAATGCACCATGTCGTCGCTTTGTGAGTGCAAGTAAAGATGGTGATGCAAGAATATGGGATGTTTCATTGAGGAAATGTGTCATGTGTCTTACTGGACACACGCTTGCTATAACCTGTGTTAAATGGGGTGGAGATGGAGTAATATATACTGGGTATGTTCTTCAAGATTACAATTTATGAGCAATTTCTTGCAAATTAAGTTTTCGTACTGAATAGCAATCAACTAATCTGAGTGTTTGATCCAAAGCTCTTGGTTTACTAAAAAAAGGGGGATGACATATCAATCTATCTTAGTCGTTCCCTTCAAGGCAACATAATACTACAAGTGTCAGTTCTTTCCTTGTGAACGTTATACCACTTTGATCTCTTCTTTGTCAGTTCTTTCCTTGTGAACGTTATACCACTTTGATCTCTTCTTCGGGCGTGGTCATAATACCCACTTGAAAACTCATTATACTCGCATGAAAATCCTCTGCTATTGCTTCAACAATGTTGCATGACAAAAGATAAACCCCTAGTCTTTGTTCCAACAAATTCATCTATTTGATTGAGAGAAGTATCGAGTGTTTCTTTGAAGCCATTTTTTGGGGGAATAGATTTTGTAATAGTGATTTCTTGGAGAATATGTTTTAATAAGTGGGAAAAAGTTTTGGAATTACGTATAATATTATTTTTATTGGAAGAATATGTGATTGGAAATAAGTTCGGAGAAAAATGAGTTTTTAAATAATGGGGCTCAACTGGGGCTAAGTAATGCATATTTTTCTTGTTGTAAGTTGTCTTGAAAATGTCTATAGAAGGAAAGAAATGCATGCCATCTGTCTATCTAAAACTAATTTCAATCACAAAATAGGCTATAGGAAATTTGGAACAAAATTTTTAATGGATCTTTGAAGGAATATTTTCCTCCCTCTATGTTATCTGGCCCCTCTCCTTTTCCCTTCTCCTATTCTGAAATGGATTATATAAAGAGGGGCCTAAATACTTGATCTATGAGATGTTCAGCAGAATTCAATAAGTAAACCATTATCATTTTACATTTGCAGATCTCAGGATTGTACAATTAAAATGTGGGAGACTTCACAAGGGAAGTTAATACGTGAATTGAAGGTAGCTAAAATATTTTAATTTACTTTGTTCAAGAAGGTTTATATCGTCTATCGATAGACTGCATTTTTGAGAATTTTAGAACTTAGTCCACGTTACTCTGCTGTTTCTTCTATTTTCTCTCCCTTAACCTGACCGCATCCTTGTGTTTTCTGTTACTGCATATTTTCTGATTTTTCACATTAAATACAGGGCCATGGGCATTGGGTTAATAGTCTGGCATTGAGCACAGAATACGTTCTTCGGACTGGTGCCAACGATCACACTTGTAAGCAATATTCATCTCCAGAGGAAATGAAGAAGGTAATTGCGTGATCTTTGGAATCTTCAAGGCAAAGGAACAATAGATGAAATCACTTTATTGATTTTCTTTTTACAATGATTTGCCTTTTTATGCATTTCATTTTCAACAAATTATATAACAAAGGAGCCTTCCATGAATCTTTGTCACTATTCCATATTGTTTGTTGCTACATCTATTGGAAGATCGATGCAACTAGATTCTTAGCAACCTCTACAGGATTAGTTTTGATCTATATCTCCATCTCCTCCCTGGTTATATTGATATCACATATTTCTAATGAACAAGAGGTTTCTAAGTCTAAGTATGATACTTCCAAACCACCCAAGTTGTCATTTCCTAAATTTACCTAAATTGGTGCCACCTCCACTTGTTTGTGTACATTCTCTCTCTCTCTCTAATCTTTTTCGTTCTATATTACCATAAAACACGTTTTAGCATTTTCTTTTTGCTTGTTCATCTTATGGATATTTTGTTCTTTAACAGCCTACAGTAAACGCCATAAAGCATAACCAGTCTAATAACGAGGTCCTCTAGAACTTTCTAACCTTGTAGGTATCTTCTTTTCACACAGATTTCCTATATGAATGCTTCTTTCATCTAACCTGCTATAATAATTCCAACAAAAAATGGCATTATTATTCTTATTCCTCTCACGAACAGCTTAGGGCAGTGCATAAATTTCAATAGTTAAGTTGCATTGCCCATCCTACTTCCTAGTTCCTCTCTGCCCTTACTCAGCTGCTCCCATCCTTTCGGCTCAAAGTAAAGAAAGCAATCGTCTTGTCAGCTAAGATTACCTCAAGTGGATGCCTTTTTTGATTAAATTTTTGTGGCTCCAGGTAGCTTTAGAAAGGTATAAGAAAATGAGGGGCAATGCTCCCGAACGTTTGGTCTCAGGCTCAGATGATTTTACCATGTTTTTATGGGAACCTGCTGTCAGCAAACACCCCAAAACTCGTATGACTGGTCATCAACAGGTATCATATTAAATATCCCTGTACTTTTATGGTTTTGTTGAAATACATGGTTATTGCTATACCTGATATTTATTTGGGTGGAACTTTCAACACTCCAAATGGGTGATTGGATATTAGTGTCGTATTGTTCTTTTACCATGTCATCGAATATATTTTAGATGAAAAAAATTATTTTGGCCTCCTTAACATGTAGAAGTGTACAACTGGGGCCTGGGTGGATGTAGGTGACACGAATTTGCCATTTCCCTGGGTCACACCGCTAGAATGCCATTTCCCTGCTGTAATTTGCATTACTGTAGGTGACAGTGATTTTATTTTGTCATTTGTTGGTTGTAATTAAGAAATTTTTTGATGGTGGCTGGTGTGGTGATTGGACCCGTTCAAAATCACCTGTATATAGCAGAACTATTAGCTTGCATTGCTTTATTTTCTATAGCTTTCACAAAGAAAGAAATCTGGAGTGGTTCAGAATTCTCTAGTATACAAGTCTAAATGTTAATTACTTATTAGCAGGTCGGAGAACTACATGTTCTGTTATTTTCTTAGCGTTATGACCCAAGAAGTAACTACTTTTCTGAGATTCTTTCTCATGCTTACTCTCTGAGCCACAACTTGTTCCCCTGCAGCTCGTCAATCATGTTTACTTTTCACCTGATGGGCAATGGATTGCAAGTGCCTCCTTCGATAAGTCAGTCAAGTTGTGGAATGGTATTACAGGAAAGTTCGTTGCTGCATTTCGTGGTCATGTTGGGCCTGTCTATCAAATAAGGTTAGAACTCTCCTCTGTATATTTATCAATTTGCAGGTTGTATAGCTGAATAGCATTTTTCTTGCTACAGCTGGTCGGCAGACAGTAGGTTGCTACTGAGTGGGAGCAAAGATTCGACTTTAAAGGCAAGGGATCTTCGGAGAATTCAACTGCTTTTCTTCGTTACTTCTGGGTTTAATTGTTTTTCTTTGAAATTAATTATGTGGTTAAGAATACCATTTAAAAGAAAATGTCCGATCATGCTAGTAAGTAGAATATATCGATCAATTTCATAAAACTTCAGTTCTAACACGGGTCATTTCCCTTGTGATTTTGCCTTTCTATTTGCTAAAATATCTGCTTCTTTATCTTTTTTATTATATCAACGTTCCACAGTGGCCTTTGCAAAAATCATTCACATAGATACTAACAATGCTAATTTCATATTTCGTGGCGCTTAAACGATCGTAATGCAATTTTCTTTCGCAGATTTGGGATATCCGGACACAAAAGTTGAAACAAGACCTTCCTGGCCACGCAGATGAAGTAATGTTTATCTTTTCTAATGCCTCCTACAGCATCCCTTTGTGGGCTTTCGTCCATATTTACTTGGGGTGGTAGGGGACGAGAAGCTCTAATTGAAAACTTGTCTTCTTCAGGTTTTTGCAGTCGACTGGAGTCCCGATGGTGAGAAAGTAGCATCTGGTGGTAGGGACAGAGTTCTGAAGTTATGGATGGGCTAGAAAATTCAGCAAGGATGGAAGTGCACACCTACTGGATGTACTCAACGCCGTGCTCTGCAGTGTTTGGAAATAACTACAGAAGAAAGCATGATATACTGTAGTATATGTGCATTTCGGGATTGATCAGGAAAAAGCATGCCTTTTTATGTGGTGATGATGAAGAAGAAGAGCTGTGTATTTATTGCCGTTCTGTGTGAGGGATGATAGCTATGGCAGATTGGTTTCAAATGGCTACTTCACAACTTTTAAAAATGTGAATTTATTGTTGGTTACTGATATGATTTTATCATATTCTCTTTATTCTGTTTTTTCCTCTGGTATTATTATGACCTCAAATTTTCGGAAAATGATAATTTATTCTAGTTGATGTCGTTATTTTATAAAAATTAAAGCTTATTTTATTGTTATGTTGATGTTTATGTAGTAACGAAATACTGTTCTATATTCATTTCTATTAATGTATGTGTAGTTAGGTTCGGACTTTGGGTGACCTGGTTCGAGTAATTCAATACTTGAAATCATCCATTCCACTTCAAATATTTTATTAATGAAATCATTTGTTCATGTAATTACTAGAATCAATTTGAATCCGAACCGTAGATTTTGATTTTGGTTTAATCTTTCTATAATATTTGTTCTAAAAATCGTGTATGTCAAAACATAAATTTTTTTAATATATTGCGAACACATTATTTTTTATTTTTCTATCAACTGTAAATATGGAAGAATGTATGATCGAGCAGTTTGGATTTCATTTTATTCATAATACATTTTCTCCATATTTTTAGCCACACAACACATTCTCTAATAAAATAATATGACATGTAAATTAAAAAAATTTTCTCATTTTTTAACCACATAATTTTCAAAAAATTACTATAGAAAAATACAATTTCCTCAAAAACACATCATAATGGAGCCCAAAGTTTAAGACAAATTTTAAAGAATCACTACCAAACAGGGAAGTTCTTGATGTGCAGGAATTTTATTCTCAATAAACATGATAAATTTTATAGGTTAGGAACCCACGAGCTAATGAACCAAACTTCGGGGACTACAGTTGCAATTTCTCTGATTACGAGCGGGTTTATCTTGCCCAGGAAGGGAGTTCTTTCTTCCTGCCAGATCCAAATAACAGAAGTTGGAGAACGAAGAAAGAGATACAGGAAAATGCACGGGATATCACGTAAAACCCCAAGTCAAGATGAGCAAGAAGCTTCAGACCTAAAAGCCGCTGAACTTCGTGATCTCCAGTCTCAGTTCCTTCACCTCCATCATAACAAAATGTTAGTTGTTATTATTATTATTATTATTATTATTATTATTATTATTATTATTATTATTATTATTATCTATAGTCAGTCAATTTTAGGGGTCGATTGATTTTGTTTTCTGAATTTCAGATATACAAAAGAAGCTTTAGAAACAAGTGCAAAGTTGTTAGTAGTGAATCCAGAGCATTATACAGGTTGGAATTACCGAAAACTTGCTGTACAACACTTTCTCGATCACCAGTCAGAGACGGAAGTTGATTCCGAGTCTATCCAGTTGGTTCTGAATGAGGAATTAAGAGTTGTAATTTTTCATCCTCTTTCCACTTCAGTTGTTTTATGAGAATCAAGCATGTTTTGGGAAATTAATTTGTAGATTCTCTCTAATTTTATGTTTACAATAAGTATGTCCTATTATAAATTGATTATGCAGCCCAGTAATCAGTTAGCGTGAGTTCTCACTGACTAGAAAATGCATTGAGAAAATTGAATGCACTCCACATTAATCTGTTTATTTGAATTTTCATTAGGTAGAAAATGCATTGAAGAACAATTTTAAGTCTTATGGTGCGTGGTATCATCGCAAATGGGTCCTCAGCAAGGGTCATTCTTCCATGGATAAGGAATTGCGGCTTTTGGGCAAGTTTCAGAAGTTGGACTCCCGGAATTTCCATGCCTGGAACTACAGGAGGTTAATAACTGAAAATTTGATTTCTTGAGAGGTGATTGTTAGCTGTATTTGTTAATGTGATCTATTGGGCCTCTACTTCCAGGTTCATAACAATGTTGAAGAAGATATCAGATGAGGAGGAACTGCAATACACGACGGATATGATATTTGATAATTTTAGCAATTATTCTGCCTGGCATAACAGAAGGTATTAATACATTACTATTTTTGTTAGATTTCTATTTCTAACTATATGAGCTTTGTTATATGGTATGCTTATCCTCTATTTGTTTCATCAATGAACTTGCAGTGTGCTTTTGTCTCATCTGTTCGAGAAAAGAGGAAAAGGGCATAGTCACAAAGAGAGCATATTGGAAGAGGAATTTGAGTTTGTACGTAATGCTCTATTTACAGACCCGGATGATCAAAGTGGTTGGTTTTATCATCTTTGGCTTCTGGATCAAACGGTTAAACTGGAGCCCCTCCTACTTTCTTCATGGCCTCCTCATGGCTGTTGTCTATATTTATCAGTTGATGATTACATCGGTTGTGGAAATTTATTTCCAAGAATACATTTCCAATCCAAAGATAGAATGTTTCCCATCGTACTATATTTCAGCGAAGCAGTGGAAGGTGTAAACTCTTCTACCGTCACTATTGAATATGAATACTATTCTAATGATGATGTTATTTGGAGACCACTTTCAGCAAATAGATTTGGTTGTGCCCAAGCCTGGTTAACTTACCTAAACTTTCCTGATGAAGTGCACTTTCTAAAGGATAGCCCTGTAAAAGTTGTCGTAGCACAGTTTCCGGGTATCGTATCCACAAATGGTGTATCCTTTAGTCAGACTTCGTATATAGAGTTCTCTTTGTGCGTACCTTCCCATGATCGAGAACATACAGAGGGGCAAACCATACCGAGAATTTTATGGAAAAACGAAAAATTCCACCCACATATTACAGAATCTCATGATGCAAGCTTGCTTAATCCACTTCACCAATTGAAAATCACCGAGGAGGGTAAATCAAAGGCTTCTGATTGGAGTATGAAGACCATAGCCAATGAAATTGCTCACTGCCGAGATCTATTGTCATCAACAAACTGGTAAGCTGGATCCATTTTAGTCGATACATGGGGTCTTTGGAGAAGCCAATTTATTTAGCAAATATTGGTCATTTTTCTCTTCTTTTTCCTGTAGTAAAATTGGGAAACTGACTCTTGCAAGACTACTGATGGCACAAAGTAAATTGATTTCATATTGTATCCCAAATGATGGAGTTAAGGTCCATTACGAAGAGATTCTTGGATTGTATCACGATTTGATGGAGTTGGACCCTGTACATATTTGTTATTATGAGGATGAGCACACCTTAGTCCTATTGAAACAGGTCTCTCTCTCATTTTCTTTGTAGTTGGTATTGTTACTTTGGAAAAGCAACTGTTGCGTGTAGATATATTGCTCCATTTCATGCTTGTTAGTTACTTATTGTTTATTGAATATGGGACCATAATCTAGCTGTCAGATGTTGAATTAAAGTTGTTTATTGAGCATTAAGGAGGCACAATCCATTATATATAAATTATTATTCCTTAGAATTTCTGACCTTCAGTAGCTTTGCAAATTGCATGTTTTTCCTTAATGGCTTAAAGTGATTGTACACCCCCGTGTATTCTCTTTTAAGAAATAAAATTATTTGATTACTTATCAAAAAAAAAAAAAGTAGCTTTGCAAATTGCAGCCTCTCAATGTACTTCTGTTTGATATGCAGTCGTTTATTATAGAATTAAAAAGGATTTCAAGTTCAAGTTCAATTTCAAATTCATTTCCTTCAAGAGATTACAGCTGTTTAATTTTTATTTATCTATTTATTTTTTAACTGTTGAGTGCAAATATACGCTACTTGCAATGAATGAAGCTGGTGACCCAGAGCACATGAACTGTGGTTAGGAAAGAGAAATAATCCAAGCATTGCTTATTTGCAGTTTATGGTTGAGACGAGACGAATATTCCTGTTTGATGGGGTGACATCATGCTGTCTGAATCAAATATTGTGGATGCATCCATTCTTTTGAAAATTTTGGGTCCAATAATGATATCATTTTATACCGTAAATATGCTGTGTTTCATAAATGTCAATTTTACTTTACAGATTCTTGTTGGGTGTAAGTTGCATAAGAGCATGTCTTATACGGACAGGTATGAATTAGTGACTTCTGCTTTAAACTTCTGATAATTGAGTGATTATTTTGCAGGTGACATTGAGTATGGAATCTATTCTGAGATACTGCCATCAATATGGAGATTCAATTTCACCAAGTATGGACTCTCATTTCTGTCTTCGACTCAATGACCTCTCACTGTCACGAATTGGGAATGTCGAGCGATTGTTGTGGATTCAAATGTTAGATCTCAGCCACAACAAAATCCGATCAATTGAAGGTAGGGCATAATACACACTTATATTGCATCTTTTAAATATTGGGGTCATTGATCTATCACTGTCAGACTTGGTGGTTTGATAGAATTGTATAGTTACTAGCTGGGATGTGAATCTTTACATTAATATATGGGGGTATCCACCTAATAAAGGAAAAGGGGGAGAAGTGCTTTAATATTAATTGCTTGCCTCTATTCCCTATGTTTTTTTTTTTTCCCCCTCCAGCAAGAGGCAATAGTTTATTTTGTGGATTGAATTGACTAGACCAATCACTTGTCAAATAGTTCTTAGTCGTCTTTTCAGCTGTGTTATAAGACCACATTTATCACATATGTCAATTTAAATAATTGTATTCATCAAAATGCCTCTTGTGAAATCATAGGTTTGATACACGGAGGTGCATCATTCTCCAATTTATGGAGCAAATCCATTGCTGAGTTAGGAGAAAGCATGGCAAGAAATACAGTTAAATTCTTCAATTTAATTCACTTTATAAATTTAAATAGTTATAGACATAGGGGGGGTTAGATAATAGAGTTTGATTCGTAGCCAAAATTGCAATCCTAATGAGGGAGTTTACTTTCCAAAAATACAGACTTGGTGATCGTAAATTTGGAAGTTGCTTGATATTCTTGTAGAAACATTAGTTTCCATTCGGTTTAATGGTACATCTAAAAGAAATTTAAAGCAAATAGATCGTTAGAATATTCATAATTGGTGAAAATAAGGCTTAGTTTGTTCTCATTGTTATAGCTTATAAATTTTTCTCATTTGTTATCCTAGCAAGTTTTCGTTCATGGTGGGAAGCTTTGCATGTAAATAGGACTACTATTATTGAGTATTGAATAGTTTAGACATTGACTTGTTATATTCAGTACTCTCTCTCTCCCCCCTCCCTCCCTCCCTCTCTCTCTCTCTCTCTCTCTCTCTCTCTCTCTCTCTCTCTGCGTATTGTAGTGATATTTTGCGATGCATCTTTACTTGTTAGTAGTGGTGAGGAAACTAACTTCATT